ATAACAAGGCTCTATATGCTCAAAATGTCAGTTTGATTTATATATGCAGTGCTATCTCAGTCTGAATCCCAGCAATTCATTTCATAAATATCAACAAAGTGATTCTAGAATTTATATAGAGAGGAAAGACAGTGCAATATTGAAGCCAACACAATATTGAAGGACGCTGTTGGAAGACTACCCAAATTTAAAAGCTACTAACGATAGTAATCAGAACAGGGTGAGGTGGCCAAAGAATAGACCAACAGGTCAGTGCAACAGAATAAAGAACCCCTTAGCAGAGTCATATAAATATAGGCAGCTGATCTGTGACAGCATAAAGGCAACACAAGGGAGTAAAGACAGTCTTTTCAAAAAATAAAGTTAGAATAACAGAATACATATACACTCCAAACAGAACAAAACAAAAAACACAAATTTAAAAAAAAAAAAACATTCTACACAGACTTTGCATTTAACATACACAGAACACTCCATCCAATACCCATGCTTCTTATGTACAGGGGATATATTCCAGGATAGCCCTATATTAGGTTACAAGGTAAATCTTAATAACTTCAAACAAGTGAGTAATATGCAAAGTATTTTCTTTGACACACCAGAATGAAGTTACAAATCAAAAATGTAAAACTGGAAAAAATCATAGAATTGTGTAAACAACACAATAGATCAAAGAAGAAATCATGAAGGAATTTAGGAAACACTGAGTTTACTAGAGATGAAAACATATCAAAGCTTATGACACATGGCAAAATCAATGCTAAGAAGGAAATTTATAGTTATAAATGCTTGTGTTAAAAACTAAGAAAGCCAGGCATGGTGGCATTTGCCTGTAGTCCCAGCTGCTTGGGAGGCTGAGGCTGGAGGACTGATTGAACCCACGAATTCAAGACCAGCCAGGACAATATAGCAAAACCTCATCTCAAAAATAAAATAAAGGAGGAAAAAAAATCTCAAATCAACAACCAAATAAAATTAAGGAACTATAAAAAGAACAAACTCAAAGCTAGCAGAAGATAGGCAATTTTTTTAAAAATAGAGATAATGAAGTAGATAAAAATTGATAATACCAATAACTGTTTCTTGGAAAAGGTTGACAAAATTGCCAAACCTTTAGCTAAACAAACCAACAAAAATAGAAGATTCAAATTGGAAATGAAAGTTAGGACATTCCTGCTTATTCAAAAGAACAAAGAGTTACAAGACAGTATTAAGAATTAAATGTCAACAAGTTGAGTAATCTAAATGAAATGTTTGATCACTAAAAACAGAAAATCTACTGTCTTGGTTACTTTCCTTGTTGTTGAAACAAAATACCTGACATTCAAAATGAAAGAAGGAAAAGTTTATTAAGCTTACAGTTTTCGGAGGTTTTAGTCCCCACTCACCTGGCTCCAAGGTAGGTACGATGGTGTGGCCAAGGGGCAGCCATTAGCGGAGGCTGCAAGCAACAAGAGTGAAAAAGGCAAAAAGGGGAAAGCAGGCCTTCTTCCTTCCCTTATATTGTTTGCACGTTACCTGCCCCTGGGCGGGTACAGGACTCAAACCACCAATCGGAGCACTAGACAACAAACCAATCACAAATGCTAGATTCAGCGGCCTCCATGACTAGATGAGGCTTTGGGAGCATTTAAACAAACCCCAATATCTACCAAGATCACACAGATACATAAAATCTGCATCCATCCACAACTAGTAAGGAAACTGAATCAATAATCAAAAATCTACTTACAGGCTGGGGTGTTGGTTCTGTGTACAGTATCTGTTTAATGAAACTCTGGAACTCTGGGTTCAGTCCCCAGCACCTCCCCTCCCAAAAATCTATTGACAAGGAAAAGCCTTCAGCCAGGTGACTTCACTAGTAAACTCTACTAACGATTTAAAGAATTGATACCAATCTTCTTCAAGCTTTCCCAAAAAATTGAACAGAAGGAATGCTTCCCAATTCATTCCCTAAGGCTAACATTTACTCTAATATCAAAGTCAGACATAAACAGTGTAAGAATATAATGCACCATGAAATGAACAGCTACTTTGAAGAAAAAGAGACACTAAGGCACCCCGTGCTGATTCTATAACGTCATGATGTGAAATCCAGCAACACACTTATTTTTTGTTCAGAGTCATTTTAGTCTGTTTCGTTTTATTTAATTTCAAGAAGAGCTTAGAGTGAAGTGTTTCAACCCTGAAAGAAAACAACTTCAAACCCAGATTGATCTATCCAGCAAGACTATTTTTCAAAATTGGCTTAGTTCTGTCTTGTTTTGTTAGATTCTATGCTGTCAGATCGTAGGGGCAGCTATTTTGAATATAATGGGATACACTATGGTAACCATGGTTTCCTATTGCTCTGAAGTCTTATAATGCTTTCATTCATTGGTTTGATTGGTTTTATTCTGTTTTGTTTGATTTTATTATGTGTGACGGTATGAATAGCTATTTTGAAGAAAAGACGTGGTAGCCATTGCTGATTTACTATCATCTTCCTTTGAAATCCTACCGTGCTCTTGTTCTTCTGTTTTGGTTGGTTCTATCCTGTTGTGATTTATTTGATTTTATTATGTGTGATGGTGTAGACAAATTTTTTGAGGAAAATGAGATATTATAGTTCATTGTTCATTTCCTGTTGTCATTTCCTATTTTCCTATTGTCATTTCCATTGTTCATTTCCTGTTATTTGGTTTTGAAGTCCTGCAATACTTTCATTCTCTTGAATGGTTTTATACTATTTTGTTATGTTTTTGATATTATTGTGTATAAAGGCATGCTCAACTATTTCGAAGAAAAGAGACATTATGGTAGCTACTGTTGATGTCTGGTTGTCTGATTGTGAAGTGCTATGTTGCTTGCATTGTTGTGTTCTGATTTGCTTTGTTCTGTTCTCTTTTGTTTTATTCTCTTTAAAACAAAAAAAATTTTTTAAATAAATAAAATGTAGGGCAAAAATCTTTACAACACTGGAGTTTGCAAATAGTTTCACAAATGAATTCAATCAAACATGAAAAAAAAATAGCAGCCTTACACAAACCCTCTGAGAAAACCAGGAAGAAAACTTGTACAACTTCATTTTTTAAGATTTGCAAAATAGGGCTGGGGATTTAGCTCAGTGGCATAAGCGCCTGCCTGGCATGTGTGAGGTTGTGAGTTCAATCTCTGGTACCAAAAGAAAAAAGAAAAACAATTTGTAAAATACCAAACCTTGACACAGCCATTATGAGAAAGGACACTTACAAACAAATCTTAGCTATGTCATGTATTTTAAAAAGAATAATAAAGACATCATGACTACGTGATGTTTATCCAGGATGAAAAGCTGGCTTGGTAACTGAACATTGATTCACGACACTACATATGCAGGTGCAGACACTTGTAAATTCATCAGATTGTACATCTCAGGTGCGTGCCTTTCACTGGGCAAAAAATTTGCCTTAATTCCTTTAAAAAAAAAAAAAAAGAAGGAAAGAAAAAAGCAGTGAGGTGCCTTAATTCTAGCCCACACACCAAAGCAGGCCACCCCTTGTTCATGGCCCTCACATCCTAGAGGGACACATTGTGCTCTAACTAATGCAGTAGACGTCCATTCACCTACCTTATCCAAAAGCAGTTTCAGATCATTAGAATGCAAATCGTAAAGGAGTGGGGTAGGAATGAGAACAGATCCAGGGTTCGCCCTCTTCACAGTTTTCTTCTGTGTGTTGAGAGCTCAGCGCTCCCCACCCTGCCTCTCCTGGGAGTCTGGTGGCGCCTCTGAAGGACAGGCCTCCACTGGGTATTGTAATTCCTGTCTGATTGGGAGAGCTTTAAACAGCCTTGTTACTTCACAGTAACATTTATGATTCCAGCTGTGATGCCAATGGCTTTCTGGCAGCCTTATTACTTCTGAAATTAACTCAGCCTGGAGGTCCCATACCTCTTAGATAATGTAATGTAAGGACTCTAATCTCAGAACTTTTCATCGGAAACCATAGCAAATATCAAACTGTTTTGTTTTAGGGCTCAGAGCAACAAAGATTCTTGTGACATTTTTAATATCCCTTGAGTTATAAATTCAAAGAACTTGTTTTTGATGCCACATTTTCTTCAGGATCATTGATTTACACTCAGAGACAATAAATTTGTGTTTTGTATTATGTAACTCTTTGGAAATCTCCAACATTAAATAACTAGATCAAATTAGAATCTGTGTCAGGTCCTAGAGCTTGCATTTTTTCCCCATTCATTCATTAAGAAAATATGAGAGTTCCTACTAAGTGGAAATTAGCTAAGCACTTCAAAACAACAAACATTAAAGCCCCGAAGTGTTGTTAAGCTTAGGGATCTTGGAACCAGTGGAGGAAAAAGAACACGTATGTAATGACAGCCATCTAAGGCAGATGAAAGAGAGAGCAGGATTCTCCAAATCCTACCCCATGTGGAAGGTCAGAGGAGTTTTATAATCAAGATAGTATTTAGTTTGGGGCTTTAAAAACTGAGAAGTATTTAATACAGGGGCCAAGCAAGAGGGAGGGGGCTTGCTTGTGGAGAACCAGAGCTCCAAATGAACAGAAGCCGGGAATGAGTCTCCATTTAGGCAGCAGCAAGCAGCCACTGAGAAGTCTCAAAACTACCCCGATCCAGTATGGTACTTCCAAAATACACATTTAAGGCAGTCACAGAGCGAACCAAGAAGCACAGAGGCAGCTGGTGACTAAGTAGACCTCTGAGGTCTATTTTCTGAAACACTGTACTGTCAAGTAAATTATACTTTAAAGCATCTCGAGCCTGGCATTTTTCATTCAGGCAAACCGGCACCAGGTAAAAGGAGCAGATCACAAGAGCTCGTAAGTTTGCTGGAAATCCAGTAGGCAGAACTGTTTTGGTTTAGTGGGTCCAGAGAGTCATGCCGGGGAGCCTGCTGCCTAGCCTGAGGGGAGCAATGACAGAGGCACTGTGAGCCACTCAGAGTGAGGCGGTCCACACGCCCTGCCTGAGGCCAGAGTGAGTGGCCCAACTCCACTCACCGGTGATGAAGTACGCCTTGTACTGCTCCAGGCGGACGGCCTGCAGGGCTCCGTACTCCCCAGCCGCCCCACTGTTGGGGTGGAACAGCACCTGAGGAAGACAGGGCTGAGCATCGGACACCACCCTAAATACCCCCGGGGAGCGATGCTGTGTGGTCACCCCCGCCCCATACCTCCTGTTCTTCCTGTCCCCACCCTATGCACCTGCCTGGTCAGCTTCAGGAAGCCTTGTGAATTGTCGCTGTTCTAGCTGCTCAGGAGGACTAGGTTACAGCTCTGGAGCAGGGAATATAATACCAACTGTGTTGGTCAGAACCTACACACAATACCTACTCTGTAACCAGCAGGGTCCAGTACAAAGTAAAAGTCAGAGGCCAGGGGCTGGGGATTTAGCTCAGCAGCATAAGCACCTGCATGGCAAGCACAAGGTCATGAGTCTGATCCCTGGTACCAAAAAAAAAAAAAGCAGAAGTCAGGCCTGGGGGTGCATGTCTGCAATCTCCAGCATTTGGGAGGCTGAAGCAGGAGCATTGTCCTGAGTGTGAAGCCAGCCTGGGCTACAGAGTGAGTTCAAGGCCAGCCTGAACTACACAGCCTATCTCAAAAACAAACAAACAAACAAAAAAATCAGGGATACCTTGTTCACAAATTTTAAATTTCAAAACAGACAGAGCTTTAAAGGAAGCTCAGAGACCTTTAAGTGTCGGGCTGTGTGGCTGCATAAGCCTCACATCTGAGACCTCTCTGAGCCCCGTCGCTGAGGTGCAGAAGGTGTTTGCATGCACGTATCTTCAGAGATTCTCATTCTCAGGTATCTTTGGAAAATGGCTCCTTCAGGAGGCTGAGGCAGGCCTGCATGTTCGCAGCCTAGGAAACAGTGACTTAGTGAGATCCTGCCTCAAAATAAGAAAATTTTTGAAAGGCCTGGCAGCTTAGCTCAGTCCAAAGTCCCCGGGTTCAATCTGCCGGACCTCAAAAAAGAGTGTGGCAGGAAGAGAGGGGGGAAGGAAGGGAAGAAGGAAGGAACCCAAGCAAGCCTCTTCCAGCCCCAAGTCAATTTTCCAAATTTCCCTTGAGCAAATATGATATAAAAAAGAATTCTCAGTTTCTCCAGCCCTGAGCACACCTGATCTCCGGAACTGTGGTTTTGCCTTTGTGGTGCTGGGGATTGAATGGAGGTCCTCACACACGCTAGGCCAGTGCCCGGCTGCTGAGCCTCACACCATCCCCAACCTAACTTCTGAACACAGATGCTAGCACCTCTGACTCAATCCTACTGTACTTGGACTGAGGAAATCTTTCCTCATTCAGTTGTAGATGGAAGAATTACCCTAGAGAATGGAAACATCTAATTCAGAGTTCCCAAGAGAAGAGTCTGGTAGAAAATAGCAGGTCAGCGTCTTTGGTATGTTGGTAGGTTTGGGTTGGACTCATGAAACTGCCCTGGTATGAATCATGATCGTATATATTGCTAGGAAGATGCTTGTGTGATTCAGAGTTTCCATGAGGCTTGAAAAAAATGAGAAACATCTGTTGGCACAGTAAACAGCTGTCCCCCTAGGTTCACAGCCCTGGGAGGATGCTGCCCAGGGCAGGGCTCCCCCGAACCTGCTATTCTGGTGCTCTTTCGTGTCAAGCCCTGCATGATGACAACAAGCTCCTTCCAAACAGGAAAGGAAGTTCTCAGTGAAACCTCCCTTCTTCCACCCCATGCAAAGCCAAGCCTCTCTCACCGCAGGAAACCACTCTGAGACTTTGTGACGCACTAAGGGAAACACTGGGACAACCTAGTGTCAGCGGACTTGGGATGCACTCAGACCTCCAAAAGGTGGAAGCCAAGGCTGAGCCTCCAAACCAAAGGGATCATCCGCATCCCAGGGACAGCAACTTCATAAGATGGGGCTGCACAGTCCACCAGGGGCAACTTCCGGTATCCAACCGGGAGCAAAACTGTGCGCTGGCTTATTCTCACGAGTGGGGATGGACTCCGGGGAACACGTATATGCATTCTTTCCCTTTGAGCAGCCTGGCTGTGGCTTTCTTGTTTATATGAACATAGGAAGAAAGCTGGCACGTTTACCACGAATCACAGCTGAAGCTTCTTCCTCTCCAGATGCTTGGTCTGAATTGCAAAGATGACTTTCTCTCCTGAAAATGTGTGCCTTCTTGCATGCCTTTCTTTCCAGTTTGTTTAATCTGTGTTGTCTGTTTGTTTGTTTTGTGGTGCCAGGATGCAACCCAGGACCTTTGCACTGAGCTACATCCCCAGCCCTATTTTTACTGCTTGTTTTGAGGCAAGGGCTTACTATGTTGCTAAATTTGCCCATGTTGGGCTTGAATTTGGGATCTGATTGCCTCAGCTTGGCAGAATTCTGGAAACACAGGCATAGGCCACACCTGGCTTATTTACTCTGGGTTTTATTTGTTTGTTTGTTTGTTCTTTTGAGACAATGCCTCAGCTATGTTGCTTGGGCTCAAACTCCTAGGCTCAGGCAATTCTCGGGCCTCAGCCTCCTCAGCAGCTGGGACTACAGGCATGCACCACCATGCCCTGGACTTTGCTTTTTCTCTTTTTTTCTTTCTTTCTTTCTTCTTCTTTCCTTTCTTCCTTCTTTCCTTCCTTCCTCTTCCTCTTCCTCCTCCTCTTCTTTTTTTTTTTTGCATGACAGCATCCTAGATCCTGAAGGCTAGCCCTAGACAACACCCCTGAGAGTGGGCTTTCCCCACCAGGCAGGTCTGCACAGCTCACAGTCTCCAAAGTGTGGGATGAGGCCATCAGTCTGCAGGAGCCACTCCAGATGACGGCCTTCACCACTAGGGGCCTCCCTAAGAGAAGTGATGGGTACTGTAAACTAACAGTAGCTGTTTCCTTAAGGTATGGCCTCTGGGGATGGGCCCACCACAGCCACAGGGGTGGGTTGGCCAAATTCAATCATGACGGAAATTTGTGTTGTGGATTTTCAGACAGGATCAAGATAGTCAGGACTTAATCACTGGTGACATTGCCAACTCCCATGACCATGAGGGACTCAAAAAAGGACATCTGATTCTGGGCTGTGCACCCCCTCAACACATGCCCAAGATCTTGGTTCTCTCCTTATAGTTGTCCTCACTGCCTAGACACAGGCACATTAAGATCAGGATTGGAGCTAGCCATGATAGCACATGCCTGTAATTCTAGCACTCTGGGAGGCTGGGGCAGGAGGTTTGCAAATTCAAGTCCAGCCTGGGCAACTTAACAAGACAGTCTAAAAAAAAAAAAAAAAAGCTTGGGTTGTATCTCACTGTGAAGGCCCTGTGTGTTTCCCAGTACCCATCTCCTGAAATCAGAAGAGGCTGAATACAGAGAATATATATCAGCTGCCATCAGCAGGTGTCAGCTGCTGTGGGTTCTGCGATCACACTCACGTATGTTATGAGGTCATGGGTGTGAAGCCTGGTGGCCCACTGTTTGCATGACACCCCCCAACCTGGTAGCAGGGGTTGCCGTCTCTTCAGGATTACTTGATTTCTGATCCAGAAAAGAAACTAATTGCTAAGAAGAATCTGCATATATAGTGTTTGGGGCTGACCAGCTAGGAAGTACTTACAGGGTCTAGATACGGCACTGATTTTCTAAACCAATCCATCTTGAATAATTTATAAGCTCAAGACATATCAGTAGGTGAATACAAACTGTGTTCACGGAGAAATACATATGTGCTACCTACGTGTTTGGGTGTGCATACAGACATGGAAATACAGATCTAATCGTATTTTTACCTGCTGCCTCCCCTAAAAAGCTATGCTAAGTTCACTTCAGTAGACTGACTAGAGAAGACAAAACCCAAATACTGGCCTAGCAACTACCCGTGTCGTCCTCAAGTTTTATCTTGGGGGCCTTCGTCAACACCAGCAGAATCTGGTGCTCGGTGAGGCTGGGTGTGGTGCACAGGTGGCGGGCCGCGCGCCTTTAGCCTTGAAGATACCATCAGCAGCTTCCTGCAGGCGGCAGGCTGTTTGTTTCTCTCTGGGCCGTAGGGTGTGGTTAGCGAGCACATCGGTCTTCACGCCAGCTGCACTGCCACACATCACGGGTCCCCACAATGAGGCTGAGACTTGTATTTGCTGCCCCCACCGGTTCCGGGCCTGACTCCTGGGCAGGAGCTAGGATGCGCCTCTGTGCTCCGTGCAAAGCCGTAATTAGAGGAAGCGTGTGAGCGCTCCCCCTGGGAACGGAAGTGAGCGCGCGAAGGAGCTGGCGCCCACAGGCAGAACGACCCACGTCAAGGAGACCACAGTCCTTGAAGCACTTCCTGGTGACCCTGATTATTCTATTAGTAGCCATGGCAATAAACATTCAAGAGCACCTTTCCACTGACGTCTTGGATAACCCCTCAGGGTCACACGCTGCTGACTTCCAGGCTAAAGGCGGAAACCACCTTCCTGCTTTGCTCTGTCAGGAGAAGGGCCAGGCATGGAGGAGTCTGCAACTCTGGAAAGGCAGGGATTCCAGGGAGAGGCGAGATCACTGCAGAAAGCCTTTTCAGGCCCAATCTGACTGTCCCTGAAGACCACATTCACATCCACAGATGCACCGAAGGCCCCTGCGCTGCGGGCTGCAGGAGCCTGGGAAGGAAGGGCAAGCAGCCACCAGCCAAAGTGCACTTGAGCACATCTGACTCACTTCCATCTGACCCTCAGCGACATAAATAGACCCTTTGAAATGTGGGTCCCCAACGGGGAGTCTTATGTAGGGGGTTCCAACTCCTCGGCCCCCTTCTCTCCTCCCACTTCCTCTTCCTTTCGGTGAAAGGAAAACACATGGAAATGAGAGGGAAAGGCCACCAGGACCAACATTTCCTGGCCGCTGTTGCTACGGGGTGCTTCCAAACACCCCAAAGAGGGGGAAGCTGAGGAGGTGACGCTGGGAAACAGAAGGCCAAAGCCATTGCCAGGGCTGTTTGCTCAGGAACAGGCTTAGAAAGGGTACTGAACCCTCCCAGGCGTGTCGGGAGTAAAGCAACCATGTAGGCCCTGCTGTCCAAAAAGGCTTTCATGCACTCATTCATCTTCTCCTTCATTTGTTCTTCCATGTTACATGAATCGAATGCTCGCAGTGAACAGGTGCTTCAGGGGTGAACCCTACAGCTAGGATCCCTGCCTCTGGAAACCTTGGCTCTCCCTCTGGGTTTCTCACTCAAAGACACAGGGAGCTGATTATATCTGCAGCCAGGCACTGGATGAGATGTCACAGGCTACCTTTCTGCAGGGCTTGGACGCAGGCACAGGCTTCCCCCACTTACCCTATGTCCCTTCTGAGACCTGTCCAACAGCACACTGGAGACATCCAGTCCATCGAAGTGCCGGTCTTGGGGCAAGCTGGCTCCAGCCAGGGCCACCACAGTGGGGAAAATGTCCAGGATACTAGAGAAAGAAGGAGACACAGTTGATTGGTGCTCTTCTGGCCCCACCCTGGCCCTGCTATGGTCAAAACCCATCCAAACAAGCCCAAGGCAAATACTGACAATCAGGGGCTGGGGATTTAGCTCAGCGGCATAAGTGCCTGCCTTGCAAGCAGGCAGTTGTGAGTTTGATCCCCGGTACCGATAAAAAAAAAAAAAAAAAAAAAAAAAAAAAAAAATACTGACAACCACCCTCAGGTGACATTCACTGCCTGCCTGGCTTCCCTTTAGGTCCCACCTTGATTTCTGCTATGAGAAGAAGACTGGTATACATAGTTCACTTCTCAGGCTCTGCCACCAAATGTTGTGTGGGATCAAATCTCAGCTACCACTCGACTTCTCAGTGCCTCAGTTTTCTACCCTGTAAAATGGACATTTTAATAACAGTGTCTACCTCCAGAGTAATTATGTGGATAAAGCAGGCAGGAAGGCCACATACAAGGGCCACATGAGCAGGCCCTTGTAAAGTGCATATTGGATGCTGTGTTATAATTAACCTATCTCAGTGCTAAGGGGCTCTTCCTGTCACCAACTGAGCCACAGCCACTTGCTTAGAGGGAACAGGGCATGACTGGTACCCACAAGAGAATATTCACTTCATTCTCACTGCCCAGCTCTGTCTCATAAATATTTAGTCTTCAGTCATGATATGTGAAACACTCCACGCCTTCTTGCTGATTATAAAATAGTGAATGTTTATGGTAGAAAAAAATAGAACCATCCAGTAATATAAAAGTACACAACACAGAAATAACCCATCTCCCAAGGCAGCCACTGCTAAGATTTAGGTGAGTTTTGTTAATGTGATTTAAAAAACAAAAGTCACGTGGTATAATTTACTCTATGGCACAGTACATCTCCCTCAGGCCCGCTGGGCTCATGTTGGAAAATACTCTTCAGCAAGAACAGGGTGGCTGCCCTTTAGACAGCTCGGCTTATCCGAGGGCCGTCAGAGAGAGGATGGGACCTGCCAGAAGGGCTGGGCCAGCACCAAGTCCTTCTCAGGTTAGACTTCCCCGAAATAGAAGCCTTTGGACCCTGGAATCCAGGTCCCACTTCCCCGCCCTGAGGTCTGAGGAGAGGCTCAATGCTGCCCTCCCAGGGGGCTGCAGAAGGGACTTCCCCTGCTGATGGCTTCTCTCCCATCAGCCTCACTCTCCTCCTCTCCAGGCGCTGCCTCCCCGAGCAGACAGAATCTCTCTGTTGACCGCAGTGCTCAGTGTTTCTGTTTGCCTGAAACTTTCGCAGTCCACAGAACTGGTGGTTTATCTCTTGAGATACACGCGCCCTGGGACCTGGCAGCCCAGGCACAGCCCGGCGTGCTGAGTCAGCACTCGCAGAGTACAGAGCGGTCCAGAACCTGTCCCGAGTCCAAGGTTCCTGCCACAGACTGGGGAGCAAAGAAGACTGCAATGCAGTCTTAAAAGCCTAAGATAGTGTGGGGTTGTTTGTTCTAGTGTTCCTTAAATTGTCCTAAGAGAGATCAACATCACAAATGGGTCAGTTCAGCAAACAAGAAAAACAGGATCCATGTTAGATTTGAGAATGGATTGTGTGCGTTCTTTTTCCATCTTAAGAGAAATTATTGTCACTGGTGAGTCAAATCAGCAAGCAGGAAAAATGGAATCTGCAGTACATTTTGGAATGTATTGTACCCTTTCTTTTTCCATCTTATTTTTTCCCCTCTATCATGAGGTTTAGCATCTTAAATTATACAGTACAGAATTCTAGTGTCTCAGAGTTTGGCAGAAACCTCAGAGGTGTCCAGTCCATTCAGAGCACAAAGAAAACCTCTTGCTTATGCAAGACAGTTTGGCAGGTCTGGTGATTCACCCTGCTCTAGCAAGCCAGTCCACCACCAGCAAGCTCAGGCCATCAAAAAGTCCTTCTTTAAGGAAGCAGAGAAGCCAGCTCCCTGAGGTGTGTCCTGCATGAGAGGAATACTCCCGATGCCATCCCAGGCTTGGTCCCCAGCCTACACCTGAACTTGGGGAGCTTGGACAGTGTATCCACCCTACAAAGCCTGTCTCAGATGCTTGGTCTACTCTGAACCTCAAATTCTGCCTAAAAAATTAGTGCTGACAGTATCTAAAACCTTGGAGAAAGAGAATCAACAAAGCAAAAACAAATTTGTACTTCCAAGTTGTTCGTTTCTGACATTTGGCTTTTTTGCTGCTATTCTTTCTGTTTTTACAGCACCGGGGATTGAACCCAGGGCCACACACATACTAGGCATGGGCTCTACCACTGTACCTCACAGCCAGCATCTGCACCTTGGCTTTTGACAGAGTAATGCTTTGACTTTCATGGGACCTGGATATATTTGCTTTATGAATTTCTTCCCCTATTAAAAAACTTAGAGATTATATTTTATAACAGCACACAGACCTCAATATGAATACATAAATAATCTATATTAAACCATACTATCCCACCTAAAAGTTTAGCATTTTCCCTTGAAATTTGAAAAGTTATTAAAAACTACTTGGGCCCATGAGTCTCACAGGCCCTGAATCTGGATCTCCAGAGACCAGTGGAGATGCAGGTCTGGTTCTGACAGTGGGACTCCCACTTCTAGGGAGCTTTGGTTATGAGAAGGGAAGTCGGCCTGGTCATGACAGGAGAGGGCTACCATGGCTCTGTACCACAGTGTGTAAGATGATCTTTGGAACAGGCCGGGGGACAGCCTTGCAAGTTTCATTTCTCCACGGTGACATTTTCCTTTTCCTTCATGTAGCTGTGGTCAGCCTAGGCTGGGAAGGTTGTTCTTAGAAAGTGTGCAGTATCACTATTGCCCAGGGTAGCCCCAAACTCCTCCACTCGGGTGATCCTCCTGCCTCAGCCTCCTGAGTTTATAGGCAGTCATCTCTGTGTCTGACTTATTTGTGTTCTTTTATAAAATTTTTTAAAATGTTTTATTACCACACGTTTGCAGTGGATAATGATCAAGTCCATCATGATGAGTTGATACATGCGCATAGGACAGTTTAATTCCCTTTACCTCCCCTCCTGCCAGCCTCCTCCCTATCCTTCCATCTCTTGGTCTTCTTCCCATTTGCAGAAGATCTATCTCCTTGTTCCCTATTATCTTTCTTTTACTTTGCTCTTTAAATTATTTTTAATTTGTGTTTCTTGTATAGGAGAAACCATGCAATACTTTTGTGTGTCTGATTTATTCCACTTAATTTTATTGTCTCGAGGTGAATCTGTTCCACAAACAACTCCAATGTGTCCTTCTTTATGGCAGGCTATTATTCCATTGTATACAAATATCACATTTTCTTTACCATTCATCCATATGTGTGTTCTTATCCAAGGAGCAGCAAAAGAGCCTTGAAACAGAGACTGTGTGATGGTGAAGAGAATGGGGAAGGGTTCTGCCCATTGGACCTCAAGCTGTGCTACCTGGGGAGGAGCTCAGGGACTCTTGGTCCCGAATTCGAGGAACAGATGGAGGAGAATTGGGGTGTTACAGCGGGCATTGCTGAGAATGGAGAAAGGGGTTTCCTGGAAGCCAAGGATGGTTCGTCAGATTTGACCTGAGGACAGAAAGAAAGCATGGGGAGGGGTTGCTAGGGAGAGGCTGGAGGTGCTGGGACTAGGACAGGGGAGTGGCTCTTGGTCCCTCTCTCCAGGGTGAAGGAGCTGGGAGAGGAATTTCCTGCAGTGGAGAAGCAGGAGTTGTCCCTAGGACGCAGGAGCAACTCCTCTTAGCAAGCAGGTGCGGTGCCTCGCCATCCTCTCTCCTTATCCCTGAGAAACGCTAGGGTGGCACCTCCTCTTGATCAGAGAGGAGTTGCAGAGACTCGAGGGTCTAGAATGAGTCCACATGCAGTTTCTCCTCACCTGTTCCCTCCAGCACCTCCACACCCTTGGGTCCTTCTTAGAATCCCGGGGTCCCAGAGCACGGAGGATGCCCCATAGCAAGCCATTCATGTCCCTTACAGAGGACAGAGCAGCTGGGATTCCAGGTGATGGAGAGCCCAAAGGGTCAGCACTGCGGTCAGCCCCTGCTCAGGACTGACTCCTGAACTACTATACACTAATGCAAACACGGTCTTCTTATAGCTGCCGCTGCAAGACTGGCCATGAAACAGTGAGTCCCCTTTCCGCATAGGCGACTGTTTTTCTGATATCTTAAAACAGCATTGGGAGACCCCAGGGGGATTATCTGCTCTCCTAGCTAAATAGAAGCTTGGGCTGTTTTTGCAATGGAGACTGCTCAATGTCCCTTATTCCACTCTGGTCACTTCATTCTTGTCCCCATTGTCTAGAAGATTGGGTCTCATTCTGAACAGGAATGGGGGGCTCTCAGCTTGGATGTCAACCAACCCTTCACCTGTTTGTGTAAAGCTGAGGAAAATTACCCAACAGCTGTCATCACTGATGGAGTTTGTCCTTCTAGGAGACACCTCCTTCTGCCCTGCGATGTTCTGGTTGTGATAACTGTAGGAGAGAAGAGGCCAGGCCTGGCACCACATACCATACACTGTCTAAGACGGTCTCCACAATGAGAAATGACTCAGTCCACACTGCCAGCCTTGGGAAACTCTGCTCCAATGCTGTAGGTTAAAACTATCAATGCTTTTTCAAAACTTTTCTGTCTGATTTGCTCATTTGCAACTCTCGACCGCTGGGGGCAATGCTTGACACATAGTGGGATGCATTTGTTCACTAGTGGATTTTCCCTGTTCTGTAATTGTTTCCTCAGGCTTTGGGGACAGGTCCAGTGCAACATCAGCCTGTCATCTTATGGAATCTTAGTGTATCACTAGGCACACACTCAACTAGTAACACTTTTTACTGCTGAAAGATAACTAGTGACTGCATTTGCATGGGCTCCCCCAACACACTTGTTAATTTTTCTATATTCACCCATAAACCTACATGGAACACAAGTTTAAGGGACTCTAGTCTTTAATTCTCAGTCACTTAAAGCAGTTATCTTTGACCTGGTAGATCTCTACCGTTTGAGGAATAAACTACCAGAACAGGTGATAAGCCCTCGGGCTCTGGAGAACAGCCAGTTCCTTGAATATGGGTCATAATCCCAATCTCTCGGAGCTGGCCTGAGGGAGTCAAGGGAAAGGGAAACAGTTACACAGAGGCCTGCTCAGGCCATCGAGAAGCTCAACTCAAATTTGCTTTATATGGATTCACATGGAGAAAAATGCAGGAAGGCGACTCTCGAGACTAGAGTGTCTGGCTACAATCTGAACTAATTTAACACCAAAAACACCCTAAGAAGGGCTCATGCCACATGTTACCTGTGTCCTGGTAACATTCCAGGACTGCTCAAGCAAATGCTACCATGCACCAAGAACTCACTTTCTTGGTCACCAAATTGTCCCCTTAGTTAGCTGTCACCTCTAAAAGCTCTCGATTACCAATCATATCATACACTTTCATCACTGAGCAGGAGCTGACTGCAGGTGCACACGGCGCCACCCGCGAAAAGTGACCACTAGGTTTTCAGTGATATCACTGGGAAGGAGGCCGCTGAGTTATTTATGTGTGTGCAGCCCAGCCCATGCACACTTGGCCCCTCTCGATAAACACTCTGGCTACACCCAAGCCCATCCTATAAAACGCAGCCTGTCTGGCTTTCATCCCGGCCAGCCTGACATCAGAGATTCCAGACCTCGCTCTTGTTGTCACACCTGCTACAGCTGCTGAGAGCAGGCTGCCCCCTCCTGATAGCACGGGGCTGACCTAGAACTCCTGAGGACCCCAGTAGGCTGCCAAAGTTGATGGCATCTCCCTATCCACCCGCTACAAAGCATCTCCCTATCCACCCGCTACACTGGCTATCAATGCCGTTTACCCTTTCCTTTCCCTGGGGCTCAAGTCTCTCCCCACCCTCCCTACTGGGTAGGGAGATGCTTCTGGACCATGCTGACATCACATTCTTCTGCTCAGCTGTGTTCTTCATGTCAAAGTCCATTAGGCTCTGGAACTAGGAAACTGGTGTGCAGTAGAATCAAACTTCTGGACCCACAAACAAGCACTGGCTTCTATGGAGAGTTCCCCTTGCTGGGCAGAACCACAGGGAGGAAGCAGCCTTTTGAGTTAGTGAGAAGTCCCCATCATAAGTCATGGTTCCATAGCTGCACGGCACTGCTTTCACACTGACACACTGCGGCCAAGCTCTTCGCCAAGATATTGGCTGCCTGTATTGGCCTTAATACAGTAGGGAGATTGCTAAATACAATACAACGGTGAGATTGCTTACAGGGGTCCTTCTGAGAAAGGAAGCTCCTAGAGCCTTCCTTCTTCGTAGATGCTAGATTGCAGCAGGCAGGAAGAATGTTCTCACCTAAAGGCTAATACTTCCCCTACTGGCTCACTGGGATCACTTCCCTTCATTCCCCTCTCCAGGGCAATCAGGCATCTGGGCTCCTTTGATGGGGCCATACAACTGCCAGTGACATGTTGCCTTCTATAGCCACTCCTAGGACACTGACTCTAGGCCTAAAGATGGACAATGAGAGCTCCAATGATTGATTTCTCCACCATCAGCTTGGCCACTGCCTTCCCACTGCTGCTGATTTCTCTTTGGCACGCACAGCCAGGATCCAAGGATGAAGGATGTGAACCAATTCAATTTCCGCTACTCAGGCAATATCCCAGAGGATGGCTGAGTTACACTGTGCCTTGACTTTAATTAGCATATGGCACTGCCCAAGGGTAAATCAACGCTGCCATCATCAGAGATCTGGAAGCACTTGGCCAAGGCAGGTGGCAACTCAAGTGTTCACCACTATTAAAACCTCCACATCTCAAGGAAATCTGAGTCTCCTACCTTAACAAAGCGGTGCTGGTGACATTGGCTGGGACATGGCCTGGCCAATATGCCAGTGCTGGGACCCGGTGCCCTCCTTCCCACGTGGTCTGCTTGGCTGGACTTCCGCCTGTGAAAAGGGGAGGTGGTTCATGGCCAGTGATGGCTTGAGGCTTCTTTTCCCTGGGAGTAGACTCTCTCTAATGATTCCAAAAATCCTACAAAGATGTGACCATTTTAGTAATCAGCTTTTCTCTCAACCAATGTCTTTCAATATATTCTTAACTCACCTTTTTATCCCCCACATAACAATTACATTGCTGATTTACTGGCTTCCTGCTTGTGTGTCCCTGCACCATGGGACCTCATCTGTCTTACACAAAAGACACGGTAGGCACGTAACAAATTTTTATTGAATAAATGAATTGTGTTCTTACTGCTAATAATGTGACTGACTATTTAGGATGAGAAACTACAATGACTTGAAAACAGAAAAGGGGAAAACTTCCTCAGCTACTTAATCTGCCCAATGTCCAACTGATCCGGCATGGATTTTGCTGTTTTATTTAGTTTAGCTTTGTCTGCTTTGTTTTTCCTTGAACTGATGAGTTGTCCTGATGCGGAAGAGACAGTGTCAGTTATAGCCTTAACCTCTTGCCTCTTGGCGGGAGGTAAGAATAAACGACATGCAATCTATGAATTTCCACATTAGTAATCAGAGAAGTTATTTTTATAACCACTAAGTCACAAGTGACCACCAGTATAATGATAACCAGCGGGCTGGAAGAGATGAGGTCATGTTTTATGGAAACATCCTGAATGCATGTTGCATTGAATTAACCATGACCATCCCACCACTCCCACACACACCCCACCCTCATCCTAGTTGAGCCAGAGGCCAAGGATTCCACAAAGTTCGCGTGTAAAAAGGCTTTCTGGAAAGCTCTGTCTGTGGCTCATACACTGTGGTCATACGACTTCCCCATGCTTGGCTCATGTGAATAATGAAAGCAATGATTAGGGGAAGCAGAGAATCGGGGGAAAGTTTCACCCCTCTGTACTCACACTGCTGCTGAGGGAACCTTTGATGTCCATGGCCCAGCACACCACACTGGAAATGCTCAGCGTTCTTGAGGCTTTCTCATAACCAGCTTTGGAGTCCCCCAAGTATTGAAGTCAGAAACAAAACACAAAACAACCCCCCTCCTATGCACTGTTTATATTTAAGGGTGTGAGGCTGGAGAAGCCAACTGAAGTCTCTGCAAGCGGGTGGGGAGCTCTTTGATCTAGCCCAGTATTTCCCAAACACAGTCTTTCTACCCATAGCCACATCTCTCAGAAATACATAGTCTGCTCCAATTATTCACATCCTTGGAGCAGAGAATCCAGAACCTCAGCAAGCACAACACATGTGTCCACATGGCCCCGGACGCATGGTTTATACTGCAGTGGAAGCTCAAATACCAAGGAAGAAGCAACCATGTGTGTTGAAGTGCTTTGGGTCATCCTGCCCCCGGGGGTTGTTCTCATGGACTCCAGAGGTCTGGGTGCATGAGAAGATGCAGCCTGATTGTGTCGCCATGGTGCCTTACATTCACATGGGACTGCTTAACCTTTGAGGCCAGATGCTAAGGAGAGGTCAAGGACTTGGTTCCAAGAAGTGAGCCACTAGCTCCGACCAGAGACAGGTGCCGTGGCTCTGCTCTGTTACAGGCAAGGGGACCCAAGAATCCTTCTCTGCCTCCAGGATGTTTCTGGAAGGGCAAATTGGCCCCTGATTAATAAATTCATTAATTGGTTTTTTGTTTTTGTTTTCCAAGACCTTTCACAAGACCTTTTTGTAGGTGACTGACCGTCTCAGTATGTTTTCCTGAGAAAAATGTTTCATTGTATTTGTCCTCTTTCAAAAGAATGTTGGAAGTTGATGAGCTTAGGAGGGATTCAGCCAGTTTTAAAACACTTACATGTCAGCAGAATGCACGAGATTCAGGGAACGAGAGAAAGAGAGTTGGCAAAGGACACGCCCAGTGTGGCTTCATAAGGGACAATTCCCCTCTACACCAGCAAGGCTAACTAGCTAATCTGATTGCACCCTGGATACTGGCTTTAAGAAAAGGGCACAATTACCTGTTCAGCCACACAAGGGATAACAGGCCCACAGACTTGCACCCCAAAGGAATTTAGCTTAAAAGTCTGAGGTATGAGCAAGCAAATAAAAAAAAACTCGTAATCATTACTCCTGATATATGCTTTGTGCTGCTCCAAACCCTGGGTTCTTTCCAGCACTGCTACAGGTGAAAAAAAACCATTTGAATAACAGTCTCTGCCCAGGGCTGCAGACACTAATTATCAGCTGCATGTGTTTGCATCGAATGGGGCTTACTGTGGTTTATTCGTACCACAAAAGATGAAGTCCACAATAGCTGTCCCTGGGCCCCCAGTACTCTTCCTCATGGACATGCACTCCAAGTTAATAACAGTAACAGTAACACCTGCTAATTTGAGCCCCTACCAAGTACCAATTCCAACGCTCCTCTCTGCTATATTTCACTGAATCCACATGATAACATTTTGAACTAGGCACTGTTGTTTCCATTTTTTAGATGAGAAAACCAAAGCTCAGAGTTAAGAGGTTTTCCCATGGCCCCACACAAGGATAGAGTCAGTAATTTGAATCCAGGACTAACTACACTGCCAACACCCATTAAACATCTAGGGTTAGTAGTTCTCATTCCTGGGCATATGTTAGAATCCCTGGGGGAGTGCTTTAAAAAATATCCATTCTGGATGGGGATTTAGCTCAGCTGCATAAGCACCTGCCTGGTAAGCACGATGTTGTGAGTTCGATCCCTGGTACCCAAAAAAATCCTTCTCTAGAGATTGGGATTTAACTGGCTTGGTTAGAGCCTGGATATCAATATCTTGGAAAGCTTTCCAAATGATTTAACATGGAGCCCACCCATCCTGGGCAAGACTAGCAAACAACACCCTCCAATGCACTTCCAAACTAGACATAGCTTATGTATTTTTAAATCAGTGCTTTAGACTGCCCATACCTTTATGCCTTTATGACATAGTCTCATAAAAGCAACCTAGTAAGTTACAGAAGAACAATAGATAAGTCCACAAATGAAATTTTTATGCATTTTTCAAAGTTGAAAGCTGTCTGTTAGCTTAGATAAGCCTTAATGCTTTGATCCATGGCAGTGGTACATTAGAAGTGTCAGTCACATTTGGCTGTCTGCTGAGAAATGCTTGTCTTCGGGCCATGAGAATGTATTTCAACGTACTTGTGGTTAGTTATGACTCTAATTAAAGCAGAATCTCTTACTTAAAGCAATAAATATTTAGCCTCAGCAACTAAAATATAAACAGAACCATGATTCATGGATTTGCTTGCTTGTTCTTCCCTGGCTACGGAAGTGAGATTGCTTCGTGGTGCATCGTGACAAGGGTAGTCTGAGCAGTACTCACCACTGCCTACGCCTTTCTCCAAAAGGCCCCGACTGCCCTGGCCTGGCTGAGTCACAAAGGCGGTGTACGCCCTTCGGGATCACCAGGGGAAATTCACTGACAATGTGGATTCCTGGGTTCTAGCTCTAGAAACTAACTTAATAAGTCCTAGGTGGAAATGCTGACTCTGGATGGCTCTAATGCTGATGGCCTGAGAACCAGAGTTTGAAAATTAAGAGCAGGGTCATGGGGGGACATCTTTGGAGCCAGGCTGACTTGTGTCCGAACTCCAGTGCCTCTCTGAACCAACCATGTGGCCTTGGGCACTTTGTAACCTCACTCAGCCTCAATCCTCTGAGCCACGAGGGGGCAAATGATTGTACTTAGCTCATGGGGTTGCAGGAATAGTTTCATAAAATCACAGATATAAAGTTCACAGCAAGATTTTTTGCATAGAGTCCATCACAAAAGTGTTTCACAAATGCAAACCACTTCCCCTCCAAAAGAAATTACCTATAGGTAGCAAATAGCACAAGTATCAGCCTAACATCTACACACTGAATATAATCCCTTAACTGCTTGGTAGGCATATTTTTCTTTTTAACTAATTTTTCTTTTCAGTATTGCAGATTGAATCCAGGCCTTGTACATGGTAAACAACTACCCTACCACTGAGCTACATCCCCAGTCATTTTGTTTTATTAATTAATTTATTTAGTTTTATTTTGAGACAGAGTGTCAAAATAAGTACGTTGTCCAGTTGGGCTCACACTCGTGATCCTTCTGCCTCAGCCTCCTGAATAACTGGCATTGCAGCTGGGATGGTAGCCAGGACTGCACCATTCATGCCCAGCTGCTTTTTAATTAAGTTTCAATGCTATCAGAGCCCTCTCTCCAGTTTGCAGGATTCTTTATCCTCCCCAAAAACGACAGAAGGAGCCTATTTTCGTTTAGAAGATCAGCCTGTCCCACGAAGGTATGTGAATTTGTCATTCTGGTAAAACACTGTTCTGAGCAGTACACATTCTATAACCCTCTAAAGAAGCAAACTTCCTTTCTAACTATAAATATGGAGCCTGGCCAAAGATCCCTGTACCATACTAGTTTTCTAGAAACCCGGATTGCCAGAGCTGCAGCTTGGACCCAGGACTACTGCTGGTCTGGAGTGGCCTTCATCTTGTTGATGAGGGCATTTCACTGAGACCGATGGCCAAAGTCCAGGAAGAAACGTACTTTGACTTCTGCTGGGTCCTCATCAGCAAGCCCTGACGCAGCCAGGATCCATGATGAGCCAGGTCCCTTGTCCCTGACTCTGCCACCCCTACCCCAGCATCCTTAACCTTGCCCTGCCCCACCCCCTACCTCAAGCAGGACAGAAGGCCGGGGATGCAAGCGCTTCCCAGCGGGAGAGGTTACGTAACAACCTGATAGCATCGAATTACAAACAGCCAAGGTCTCCCAGAAGTGCCCATGCCAAATTCAACAGAATGTTTCCTCATCACCAAGGGAGAGGAAGGAACAGTTCTGCTCTTCAAATAAAACAAGATTTTCCAGACAGAGGAGCAGTCAGTTTGGGGGGAAATCAAGGTGTAGGCTGTGTCCCAGGTAGGAAAGAGGTCCAGAGTGGAGCAAGAGAGGCTGGTGGCTGGACCCCCAGAGCCTGCTGGGGAGGATGTG